AAAAGTGTGTTTTTTTTTTTTTTTTTTTTTTTTTTTTATTTGAAGAGCTCTGGCTGTCAGCCCTGGTTGGCTAGGTCTCATGCAGAAAAGTTGTGAATACCTGGGAGGTGGGAATAAAGGGAACCAGCCAAAGCCCCAAGCACGGTCTCTCCTTCCCACCCAACTCCACTCCCTCACTGGTAGGCAGCCCAGGCTTGGGCTCTCCTTCTCTCTCCCTTCAATCCCTCACCAGGAGACACTTTGAGCTCAGGCTCTCCTTCCCCCACTCCCCAATCCCTCATCTGGAGGCAGCGGGGCTCCGGCTGTCAGTCCCAGGGTGCCAGCAGCAGCACAGAAGTAAGGGTGACAATGGGGCACAACCCTTACTTCTGTGCTGCTGCTGGCACGGCACTGGCTTCAGAGCTGAGTGCCCAGCCAGCAGCTGCTGCTCTCTGCTCTGCCTTCAGAGCTGGGTGGTGATATATGTACTTGGAGGGGGTAGCGTAAATGACTACAGACACAAAGAAGGGGGACCCGATCAAGTAAGTCTGAGAACCACTGAGCTAGAGCAATTTTATGGAAGTCAGTAGAGTTGTACCACTTACATCACATATGGTAATTTAGCCAAAGGGGGAGGGATAGCTCAGTGGTTTGAGCATTGGCCTGCTAAACCAGCAGTGTGAGTTCAATCCTCAAGGGGGCCACTTAGGGATCTGGGGCAAAATCAGTACTTGGCCCTACCAGTGAAGGCATGGGGGGTGGACTCAATGACCTTTCAAGGTCCCTTCCAGTTCTAGGAAATAGGATATCTCCATTAATTTATTTATTTATCAGGGCTGAATTTGGTCTGTCTTGTGTAAAAGTGAGACTGTGTCTTTTAACATGTCTATCTGCTATGCACACGCTCAAAGCATATATGTGCTTTTATTCATGAAATACATTTATGATGTTGAAATACAATATTATTCTGTTAAATAGCAGCTTCTTTGTTGTGATAATGATCTAAGCAGGCTTTAAACGTGCAAGGTTAATGTTTTAGTCATTCTCTAATCTACTTCATACATGCAAAACTTAAAGGCTGTTTTTTTAAAATTGGACTCACAATGATTTTAAGTTAATAGGAAAAAATTACAAAGCTGATTTCGGCATCCAGAGTAAAAAATACTTTAAAAATATAATCTCGGCTAAACTACCAAACATTCTAGCCACTTCTTATAAAGGCATTTTTGTTACTGGCTCAGCATATGTGTGTAAGACAATTTGAGAATCCTCTTGCTGGATATATAATACTGTATGTCCTTGGGACACAATTTAAAATGTGGTTTTAGCCGACTTTAGAATCAAGTCCATTACATGTTTTATCTTTATTCTGGACATTTCACAAACCAAAAAAAAAAAAAAGACCATGAATTGTGTAAACAAATTAATTCATAACAGATGGAGTAAAAGTAAATTTTGGCATGCACAGAGCTACCATTTCATGCTTGTACAATCTTTGACCCATACATGTTTTTACATGACAGCTGAAGGTGATTTGAAACTTTCCAGGCTGCCACATAAGAAGAGATGAAGCTCCATTTTTTATAAATGGTGCTTAACACTTGCATTATAGCTTATCAGAAAAAAAAAAACCTCCTAACAATTCAGTTTACCTAACAAATTCTTGTCTGCTTGCAGCCTCTTTTGAGTTTGAGTGACAAATGGCTGACTTTATGAACACATTCATTATCTTGGACCTACTGATTTTACAAGCTCTTGAAATTCTTCCAGATAAAATACTGCTGCAGCAGCAGCACAGCTAAAAAGGCTCATAACATGAAGAAAGACCCTCTGCTTTCTTTGACTGAAGTAATTTCTTTTAAACATCGACATAAGAAAATAGGTGGCTTTTTAAAGTTCTATTGGCCTTGAAGTTGACTGTCAATTCACAGCATGGATTGACTGATGTCACCATGCACATGAGAAGTTTAAAGTTTTATGAGATTTAGCATAGAAGTGAGCAACAGCGATATAATTTTTGTAATTGATTTTAAGAAATGAGCTGAGAGATGAGTGAGTAATTCACGGTGTTTGACGAATTTTCCCTCATGTCTGGTTGTAAGTTGTCGAAGAGTAGCTTATTCATAGACTTGGGTGGCCAGATCATTAACTGGGTAAACTGGCATAGCCCCACTAAAGTCAATGGAGTTTAGCCAATTTACACTAGTTGAGAGTCTAGGCCTGGATCCGCAAAGAAACATACATGGAAAATGTATGTTCGTCCAGCTCTAAATTAGACCATAGCAGTATGACTATGTCCCAACAAAGTCAGTAGGCTCATGTGCCTATAAGATGTCACTAAAACAATAATAAATGTTCCCTGTGTTTGTTCATCATAGTTAGAATGTCCTGCCTTGTATCAACCACTATTATCTGTCTCTAGCCCCTTTGGCTCCCTCTACATTACTTTGTTTGTGTGTTTTTGCAGACATTCCTTACTCTCCCAGCTCTACAATGTACTATCTATTACACAGCTGTAAATTAATCTTACTAGTCTATTGATTCAGTAAGTTAAACATGCTTGTGTGTTTCTGAAGCCTAACAAATTTAGTTCGGGAAAGCACTTAAGCATGTGCTTAATGTTAAACATGTGCTGTCCTGATGAGGAATGCTTTCCTGGATCAGGGCCATAGAAAGGAATGGATTCTTTCTTCCTTCTTCCTTTCTTTTTTATTAATTTATTTTTCAATTTGTATATTAGGCACTATATTATAGTCTTCTCTTTCCTGTGTTGCAATTTAGTTACAGTCTTGATCACTGCAACTCCTCAGTAACATTCCTGCTCACTGACTCATAAGAGACCTAAGTCTCAACTCTACAGAATTCAATAGCAAAAACAATCTTGCTCTAGGAAAGGCTGTGGAATTCTTTGCATCAGCTAGGAAGATTTAACAATCGTAAGTTGTGTCTAGAGAGTAAAGGTAAAGGTGGTATGTGGGCTTGAGGGTGTAAGCAGGGATTTGGGGTGCTTTCTACAGTGCTGAGTAAAAATGGACATATTTTTGAACCAATAATGTATTGTTCTAATGATCTCTAATGGTTGATTGTGTTAAGGGTGGATCTAGATGTTTTGCTAAAACATTTAGTTGTTATTCAATAAACTAAGATCTGTAGTCCTAAATATATTTTAATACATTGATGTATGAACTATGACAAGATTGTTTTTTAGGCCTTAAAATGGGCTAAAATCATTGACTGCATTGCAGAAAAAGTGAGTGCATTTCCAGAGATATTATTACCTAATATAAGACAGTGCAGAACTTGAATAAGTAATGATTACTTGTTCACGAGAATGGTTTAGCTTTTAATAATTCTTAAGAATGCAAGGAGAAAAATATTTCCCTGAAGGTCATATACTGACCAAATTACATTTTTGGCAGGAGACTTCACTTCGCTGCAAAGGTTCCTGCCTATTATTATTATTTTATTGATGTTCTTGGCACAGTACAAACACAGATGACACAGTGCAAATCCCACATAGCTTGCAATCTACAGAATTCAGGCAGGCAAAACCAAAACAAAATCACACATCGAGAGTCCAATATTTTAGCAGTGTAAAGTTTTTTTTATGGTTTTAATGTCTATTTGGTGTATTACCACCGAAGGACGTGGAAGGATAAGTGATTTTAGGAGGAATTTGAACAGATGGGAAGTCTGACTAGAGCATAAATAGTGGGAAGAAATTCCATGCATAAGGATGGCATGGAAGAAGAAACTTTAAAGACACCTACCTGTTTTTTTTTCTTCAGTGAAATAATTTAAAATCTCTCAGAGAGCCATACACATCCCCTCCCCACATAATGTCTTAGCTAGTGTATGGGTACCACTATCCTCTTAGGGATGGAATGTCAGAACATCTCATAAGACTTAATACTGCTTTACCTAAAGATGATTCTCCTTTGGATCAAGTGGTAGTAGTTTGTGTCTTCAGATGAGAAGAACTTTCTTTAATTTTTTATCTTTACCTATGGCCCTTCATGGTGTGTGGCAAACTGATGACAGTGAATCTGTAAGATCTGTTATCCACCTTGAAGGTTTTTCAGGGGAAGAGTTCCTATGAGTACAATTTCTGTTTCCTTTATGGGCAAATGTTGATGTTAGAGGGAAAGTCGTCTTTATAATTATTCAGCACATATTATCTCTTTGGAGTCACTAAAGTCAGTAACAGAAAAATGTTCACTAAAATCATGTGACTGATTTCAGCTGTGCTGTGACTATTTATTTAATAGCGTGGCAGCTTTATTGGAATGAATAGGCTTGCTTGCTGATTTAATATGTGAATGTTTGTTTATTTGTAATCATTGACCCTAGTGTAGGGAGAGACTTTCTTAATTAATTGTTTTATCCTGTAAGGACATTTCTGATTAAGTTTTAAGTAACTATGTAAAATGAATTTAACTGTTTAAATAGGCAATGAGATTAGCATGAGGATGTAGACTGTCATGATGTCTGTCTGGAGTGGCTCATGATTGAGAGTGCCTACCTCAGGGCAGGCTCAGGCTGTCAAAATAGGGCAGACACCCCAAACTGGTGGTATGTTCTATAATTAAATTTCACTAAGCCAGTGACTAATGTGAACTCCTGGATCACTGTAACAGTCTTACCATGGAGTCACAGATAGTCCCCGTAGACTCTCCATTCTATCTTGCAGTCCATTTTCTCTCTGATTGTTATGTTTCTGTGGATAAATAAATAATACTTTGTTTTGAAGAAGGTGTCTGTCACTTGCATTTTCATTCAGATCACTGCTCCTGAAGGGAAATTTCGGGCAGGTGCCAAACTTTGTTGAGCTAACTAAGGAAACAAAGTTGATAAACCAGGGTACTGTAACCTAGAGACCCAGTCTAAAAGTGGGGTGAAGCACAGGATTCCAACCTGAGAGACAGAGGTACAGCTAATCCTGAATCATGACTTTTTGTTAATAAAAATCAGTGGGGGTCCTGCTGCAAGTTATATTGGAAGGGAGGTCTAATTAGGTGCAAAGGGAGGAGTTGCATTATACATTAAATGCCCAATTCTACAACCTGGACTCACAAGTGGTCCCTTTTACCTTATGTATTTGAAATATGAAGAAATAAACAAAATAGACAAGCTAAGCCAAAGAGGTGAATTTTATACCAGATATCATATCAGTGACCCTTCTCTTGGCTGTGCTAGAGCTGATATAGCCAAAGTTGTATTCCAGTGAGCTTCCAACTCCAATCCTTGTGTACCTCTCCATAAGAGAGACTTCATTTAAATGAGCAACCCTTTAAATAGAAAGGTTACTTCATTTGCATACAATATACAATCTCAACTGCACAAATTCTAAACTCCTACACCTTATCTATAGCTTACATGCAATAGCTCAAACATACTGTAAGAGGTGTAGGCTAACTGAAAGAACTCTGATGAGTAAAATCTGCTTTTGCATCAACACCTATTTAAAGTGTGTTTGCTACTCCCTTTAAAAAATGAAGTTACTCTAGTTAGAATGATGTTCAGTCCTTGAAGGATTGACACTCCATTCGAGCCCTTCAGATTTGTGAGCTCTCTGTGGAACAGTTGGACTGTGGAGATTAGTGTGCAGTTTACGAAAATAAATGCCTGCAGTTATGCATACCAGATGAACATGAATTATTAAATGAAAGAAATACAATCCTCAAGTCCTAGACAATATATCTTAATCACAACTGTATGTAGAATAAGTAGTATGACCGAGATAGTCAAAGCTAGAAACTAAAGGTCACGTGCAGGTTCCCCAGCTAGTGATGTACTCTTAGGTCACTCATCTCCCATGACTGAAAGAAAATCATTGCAACAGGTGGCAACAGCTGCTTTCTAGACTAGAGTAGCTGCAACAAGAGAATGACTACACAGATATGTGAAAGTGCCTCAGGTTTGTCATGGTTCAAAGTATTTGAAATCCAGATTAATGTCAGAGTTCAATGACAGGCAGGTTTTGTAAATTCTGCTTTCATTAAAACTGAAATAGGGTTGCAGTGGTGTAAATAAGAGCAGAATTTGGTCCTCTGAGTTTAAATTAAATATTCAGATAATATAATGCCTATAATAATATCTGGTCAGTATGGGAAACAATTTAAGGTTATGATTCAGAAAATGTATGACAAATAGTCAAGGCTGAGATTTTCAGATCATACTTTATAAGTCACATTTATGAAAAGTTTATAAAGGCTAGACAGTGATCAATAGATATTAGAAGCTTACTACAGGTATGAGTAACATTAGAGACTGTCAGCAGCACATTCGTGGTAGGTTTTATAGAGCTTATAAACCATGGTTATTTGGCTTGGCTTATTAGATTCTAACAATTGATTAACCATTATTAAAACATCTATTAATCATTTATTAACCCTTCATAATTTTTTTCTAAATGTAACCTTAATATAAAATGTGATTTTTTTTTCAAATCTTCCCTAAGAGAACTGGATGCTCAATTGCCATTAAAACTAATGGGAGTTTGGTATCCAAATCCCCTAGGTAACTTTAAAAATTTCAGTCCATGGCACATAGCAACACTTATGTTAACATTGCCCAGGCTTTTTCATTCTAAATGGTCATTTTCAGTTTCCTCAAAGTTTTAAATTTTGGGCTGAAATTTGATAATTTGCTCTCTGTCCCAGAATGATTTCTGTTCTGAACATTTCAGCAAAAACAGATGAGCCATTTTCAAGCATAGTAAATTACACGGTTGGAAAAATGCATCTTTTCTACAAAATCAAAAGATCTGCAAAATGAAGGTGATAGAAACTTGACATTTGGCAGGGTCATAGCCTCTAAGACATGTGCTTTTCAGAGGTCTCGTGACCATTAGATCTGATTTGGCTGGGTTATAAGAGTTTAAAAAAAACATACTTCACACATGCACACTGTTTTTTGTTTCACAATATAAAGAACAATCTGCCAGTGTTCCATTCGCATTGCACATGCATGCGTAAATAAACCAAGTAGAAATTTCCATAAAAGCTATTTTCTATCACGCACATGCTGAAGTGCTTTGTTAAAATTGAACCTTAATCTCTCTGTATATTAGGCCTTGTCTAACCACAAATTTGCATTGGTTTAATTGAAATTGTTTTTAAAACTAATTTAATTAGTGCAAAAGGCTCCATGGACACTCTTATTTTGGTTTAAACCGGGCTTATTTTGGTTTACTTAAAGTCCAATTAGGAATTGATTTTAGTTAAACTGAAATAAGCTACTCTTAAACTGAAATGAATGTCTATACAGCAGTTTGCACCAGTTTAACTAAATCAATTAAAAACCCCAATTCAAGTTAAATCAATGCAGCTTTCTCATGTAGACAAGCCCATAGTTCCCCATCTCTAAAGTGAGGATAATAACACTGCCCTACCAAACAGGAAGTTGTGAGGCTAATTTTATTAATGTTGAGGCACTGAAATACTATGGTCATAAGAGCTTTTTAATGTAATTTTTTTGGGAATATGATATAATAATAGTTTACAACTCAAGCACAGCATTTTAAAATCTCATGTACTGTACAGTACAACATACTCCCAAAATTTTTTTCAAAAGCAGTTCTTGTCTGAGGTTGCTAATTTTGGTTGGCTGTATTCCTGGAGGTTTCATCCCCTGACATAATCTTTAATTAAAGATTAATCTTTAATTCCTGGAGATTCCAGGCCAATCCTGGAGGGTTGGCAACCCTATATCTTGTCATCAGTGGACTGGAAGCTGAATATCACAGTTTCTATTCTACATATTTCTAACAATAATTCTGTGGCAGAGGTCTGATTATCTTCTATTCTTTCCTGCTGACGGGAGGGCTTCATAGCAAACATCTTCTCTATTTCAGGCCAAATTCAGCTTTCAGTTCTGTTGTTGTAACTTAGGCCTGGTCTACACTACGAGTTTAGGTCGACTTTAGCAGCGTTAA